CTCCTTTAGCATCTCGATTGTCCAGTGGCCACACTGGTTGTTTAGCAGGCTTCCTGCTTCTGATTCCTAATTATTATATTTTTATACTTCACTTGCCAGAGTTTATGCTCCTTTCTATTTTTCCTCACTAGTATTTAACTTCCCCTTTTTAAAGGATGCCTTTTTGCCTCTCACTGCTTCTTTTACTTTGTTGTTTAGCCACGCTGGCACTTTTTTGGTTCTCTTACTATGTTTTTTCATTGGGGTATACATTTCAGTTGAGCCTCTATTATGGTGTCTTTAAAAAGTTTCCATGCAGCTTGCAGGGATTTCACTTTTGGCACTGAACTTCTTAATTTCTGTTTAACTAACCTCCTCATTTATGTGTAGTTCCCCTTTCTGAAATTAAATGCTACCTTGGATTGGCCCTTTTGGTCACCCTGGGAGCTCATGTTCTGGGGTTCTCCACCATGACACCCAAGTCCTTTTCAGGGCCACTGCTTCCAGGATAGAGTCCCCCATCCCGCAAGCATGACTACAGCCTTTGTTCCTAGGTATATGCATTTACATTTGGCCATATTAAAATAAAACGCTGTTTGTACCCAGCTTACCAAGGTGGCTCTGTATCAGTGTCCTCTTCCTTCTTTACTGCTTCCCCCACCTCGTCTTTGTGCCATCTGCAAAGTTTACCAGGGATGATTTTATGTTCTCTTTCAGGTTGTAGGTAAAAATGTTAAATAGCGTAGGGCCAAGAACTGATCCCGGTGGGACCCCACTAGAAACATACCTGTTTGATTCCAAATTGATTTAAGACAAAGCAAAATAAGCCTAGTGCAACATTGTCCTGTAGACAAGGCCCAAGATAATTTTAAATATGTTTAACTCTAACTTCTTCTAAAAATGTTATTTTAAAGTTTTAAGAAGGACAAATCTGCATCACTGGTAGAAAAAAGCCCTGAGTCTCTTGTGCCTTCGTCTATAGGGCATGGCCGGTGAAAGCAAACCTGGAGAGTCCTGACTAAACACCCAAGATTTGGGGGACCTGATTCTCTGTTATGCCAAGGCCCCTTTCTGCCATTCTAGCACCATAAAACAGGTGGAAATGGCCTGCTGAGAATCCCCTTGTGCAGCTGCTCTGCAGCTGATGTGGAGCTAGCAGAAGGTTTCTGAACCTGAACCTGCCCTGCTCTCAGCATGCTGTGTGTGCGGTGGGGCCGGGGGGAAGAGGATTAATTTAGATGGATAAAAGGGGCCCAGAGAGTCAAAGGCATTGAACAAGATGTGGGTTTTGGTTCAGAAACTTCAGCCTGCTGAGTCCTATGGCAAACGCACCATTGAAAATACTTTTAACCTTTTATTAAAGATACAGAAGAGAAGAAAAGCATTTAAAGGCTTTGAAATGTTTAAATAAGGCTTTCATTTGAACAGCATCCCTTGTTCCCTTTAGCTGGAGAGAGACTTTAGAAGGAAAAACCACCTTGTGATAAGTGTTGTTTTGGGGGGAAAGGGATGGGCTAGAGCTGTTTAAAGTCCAGTCCTGTTTCCTAGAAGACAAATGCACACAAAAGGGGAAAGAAAAGAACAGCTAAGTTAGAAAATGTAGCTTCAGTCTCTGGAGTTGATTCTCACTTGCAGCCTCACTGCTGGAAAAACACAGGCCCAGCCCCAGGGTCTTACGAGCCACTCCAAGACCTGGCAAACTTGTACCAGCATCAAGCTGTTTAGGGCATTGCTTTGAGCGGCCTCTTTCTGGTCACAAGCTTAAAGCATTGTTGCAAAATATACTGTCTTGGCCAGTGACACCACGTTCGTAGTAAACGGGAGGAAAAAGGAGAGGGAGAGAGGAAAGCGGAGAAATAAGGTACAGCTGGAAAAGGACACGTTTGGGCAAGGAAAACAATCTCACATCATAGGGGGTGCTTGGGATTCAGCTGGAACCAGTTGAGATGGTGATGTCATCTGGGTCCCGCTGTCTGGCCGAGTGTGGTCAGGACATCTCTCAGGACCAGGATCGATGAAGGTTCAGGATCTTACGCAATGGTGCAGGTGGCAGCTGTGATGCTGAGGCTTGTTCCCATAGCCAGGGAGTGTTGGGTGGAATAGCCCATCCCCTCGTTATTTTGTCCGCCAATTAAACCTAATTTCCAACACACCAGTGTGGGTTAATTGATTTTTGGTCTCACACTGTTCCTGTTCACCAGGCATGATCTTAACAAAGTCCTTGAGTTATACCAGGAGGCCTTTTTGTACAGACTAATTCAATCTGTCTCCCTTTTTTATCTTTTCCCATCAATATTTGTTCTCGTAGGTTATTGGGACATAACATGAACTTTCACTCGCTTCTCACAGTTGAGCTCACAGGATAAATGTGTAGGCCCAGTTATTATAACAGGTGGATCAGGGCATGGCTGGAGCATACCACACTGCTCTCACTTACACTAGGAGTAGGGCCGGCCACTGCGTAGTCCCAGAATAAAGAAGCGTAAAGGTGGTCTAAAGCCCATGATCCCCCTCCAGCCCTACCCCAAGTGCAGAATGGAGTAACTGAGAACTGGGCCCAACCACTCTGCTGATTACGCTGGCTGGGGGGGGGGGGGGGTGAGGGAAGGGGGGAATATTAGAGCAGAGGACCTGCAGTGTTCTCAGGCCAAGAGACTGCCCTGACTTCTATGTGGGCATCTTTGCAGATCTCTGACCCAGCCTTGAATGTTATCTTGGAGGCTTAGGCCTTATCTACACAGGTCAGAGAAACTTCAGGGCATAGCTATAGCAGGGTAACTATTACTGATCTGCTACGGCGCTCTAAGAATAGCTCCCTGTGTGGACACTGTACAGAAATAAGTGACTTTGTTCCAGAAAAATTGCTCCACTTTGGAGTACCAGTCGATCTCTCTATGTAGACAATCCCTTAAAGACTTGAAAGCTTGTAAACAAAACTGCCAGAAAATCCCAGGCTGTCTCCATTTCCCCTGTTTATTGCTTGGCCTCTCAGGCTGGGCTGCAGCATACCAAGGGGGAGATGAGTATCTGGGGTCTGCAGTCTTCCGGATGCTTTGCCACAGCTCGCAGCAGGGCTAGTGATGCAAACAGGGCCCAGGCCCAGCGTGTGCTGCTGTCGAAAGGCAGCTTGAATCCAGGCAGTTCTGACCCCCACACCCCCCAAATACAGATTGATCCACCCCATGAATGGTCTCCTTTCGCAGACTTGGCACAGAATTCTGCAACGGAGTCAGGCTAAGTGACCTGGACCTGCCTCTCCCTGCTGCCTGGGGAGATGCTGGAGCTGGACTCTCCTTGACTGAACAGGTGGCAGGTGGTGGAGTGTTCTTTGGGCAGGGCCTGGGCTGTGGAACAAGCTTCCACCCGGCTGCCCACCAGGGCTCTCTGCGGGGACCATGTGCACAGACAGCCAGAAAAGTTGAGGCCTGCTGGGGCTGGAGGTTGAGTGGGGAAAACCCTGCCTGCTGGACCTTAGGGTGGAGTTCTTCTGCGGCTTTGTGCTTCAAATGGTGTCCAAGAGCAGATGGTGCCTTCCTAATGTCATTCTAGATAGCAATAAGTAAATAGTGAAAGGCAGCATGGTCCAGGGGATAGAGCCTGGACTGGAAGCCAGGACTCCTGGGTTCTCTGGTGCTGCCCATGTCCTTACAGCAAGTCACAGGCAAGTTACCACTTGGTGCCTTAGTTTCCCTGCCTGCAAAATGGAGGCTAATGATCTTCACTCAGCTTTGCAAAATACTTCAGGATCCTCAGATGAGGTATGAACTTCAACCCTTGGATCAGCTGGCCTAGAGGTGTGATGTTTTAAAGGCTCCAGAGGAAGGAGAACACAAGACTGGGTGTCTTTTTCAGAAAGATCTGCTCTAGCTCAGCCACTATAGGCCGGAGGCAGGAATCCCTAGGTGAGGAGCTCTGGCCTGTGTTATACAGGAGGTTAGACTAGATGCTCACAACCGTCCCTTCTGGCCTTAAAATCTGTGAACCTCTAAGTGTGAGCCCAGTCTGCCCTGCACTGGCCACTGGGGAAGGGCCAGCTTGGCCTTGATGGGGCTGCTCCAGCTCTGAATTCTAACTGCACCGCCCCTGCCCTCCTGAGACTCTGCCCGACAGGGGTTCAGCTGTAAGCCACGGGGAGTGGATGGTGAATGCAGCTAGACTGGCTCAGCAGGAGCCTCTGTCCACACAGCCCGCAGCCCCAGGCTCTCCAGATAGTTTTTGCCGGCTCAGCTCGCTGTGCCATACCGCCTAGCCCTAGCTATTCGAGTGTGGGGGATGGGCAGGGGATTAGGCTTGGTGAAGCAGGGTAGTGTACTCTTTACTTTCTGAAAACCAGGCCCCCACCCTCCAGTAGCTGCTCTCCTCCCCCCGCCCCTCCCTGCTTGCTAATGTCCCCCTCCCCCTTTCTTCTCATTCAATCCTCTCCACCCACCCCCTGGCCCCAGCCCCGCGGGCTCCTCTCTGCTGGGAGCTGCAGCCTGACATAGAGCCTGCTGCCTTCCTGCCCATGAGATGCAGGTAGGAGGCAGCCCCGGATGAGCTGATGACCCAACACCTTCCCCTGGGGTAACAGGACTTTTGGTGTCTGGTCAGTTCCACTGACTGGACACTGCTAGATCCAAAACCTGGCAACCCTAGAACAGGGTCAGGTTTGCTATTGACTTGTCAGGTATTTACATAATGAGGTTAATGAGCAAGGAGCTCCATTCCACAGCAGTGCTTCCATGCTGGCTCGGAGCCCTAAGGAGAGACCTCCAAGGCTGGTTCCAGACAACACACAGGCCTATGGGCCTGCCTATTCAGAGTCTGTAGGGGGCTGGCTGCTGTGGCACAAGGGCAGACAGAAGACTCTTGTAAGGAAAACAGCAGCATCCTTGAGAATACACTGGGACCTGGAGGCAAAGGGAATTAGCGCCCATTGGAAACCTCAGCCGTGCTCCATAGTGGCTCTTGCATTCTGGAGCCGTGCGTATTGCCCATTGCTGGGAAGCAGCCTCCCTCAGAATAACGTTTTGCTGTTACAGCTTTGAGATCCATGCTCAGAAATCAACCATCCAGACATCTGCAGAGCGCCCGAGACGGGACAATGGAGGCTGCCAGCCTGCCAAATGAAGGTAATGCCTTTTATCTTTTGAGAACAAAGCATGGAAGAGCAGCATGTCCTAGTGGATAGAGCAGGTAGTTGGGCATCTGAGTTCTAGGACTGACTCTGCCCAGACCCATTGCGTGACTGCGGTCAAGTCACTTCCCCACCTTCTGCCTCAGTTTCTCCTAAGCTTTCTTCTAGCCAGGGCAGTGTGTCCCTAGTGAACCCCTCAAATCCGGGCCATGCCACATTCTCCAGCATTATGTTAGATTGGCTTCTGGAGTGACTGAGACGGGGAGGAGCTGCAGTGGTGAGCAGGAAGGGGTCAGGGCGGGGGGGGGTGTGATAGGAGGGGAAGTGGGGGGTGGCGGTCCTCTGTGCCAATGAAGGAACAGAAGCCAGTAATGACGTGACACCTTGCAGCACCATGATTCTCCTCGTCTCTGCCAACAGGCCGGTTTGCCCCAGGCTCCTTCCTGGAGAAGCTGAACTCCCTGGTGAAAGGAATCGGCTGCCCCAGTCCCGATGTGGGGAGGGCCCCGCGCAAAGCCTTTGACAAGAGATGGGCGAGTCTACCACATCCAGCCCCTCCCCCTGCCAAGGTGCCGGTGACCAGATCCCCTCCATCATCTTGCTCCAACGGTAAAAAAACATCACCTGGGGCATGGTGCGCATTGGGCTATCACCACCCATCTGGGTGGAGCACCAGGAACAGATAACAAGGGGTCTGAACCACCTTTATCCCAGGGAAAACAACTGCCCAGCATGCGGGACCATGAAGAGTGGGCCATGGGCCTCGTTGCAGAGCTACTGGAATGAGCCCTGGCAGAGGCACTGAGAACCTTCTCGTGGTGTGCACCGTCCGTCCCTGCTGCAGCTGTTGTCCACTGAGTCTGTGCCATGCTCAGCCGCCACCCCCCAGCCTGGCCGGCTCAGTGTCATGCCCCATCCCTGTGCCTCTCACACTTTTTGCCCTGCTGCATGGGGCCAGGGTGGTATGCTCCTGAGACAGCCGTGGCCCCATGGCAGTGGTGAGGAGGAGCAGTGTTTGCTGCCCCACTGGCTGGTGTGCCCACTCAGGTTTGGCCCTACAGGCCTTCTGTCTTGGGGGCGGGGCAGTGAGGCCAAACCTGAGTGGACAGTGCTGCTGCGCGGCAGAACGTGTGCCTGGCTGTGCGGGAGAGATCTATCTCCCGACAAACTGGGCCGTGCCCACTTCCCCTCACCATGGCCACCCCCCTCAGTCCTGCAGCTCAGTCAGTGCATGGCCTCTCATCTGAGAGCACCCTCAGGTGGGACAGGTGTGGGGCGGGAGGCTGAGATGCCAACACTTTGCCGCTGCAGCTGTTTGTTCCTGTTTGGGGACGTGCTGAGATGGGAGCCGGGCAGGACTCGGCTGAGGCTGGGCAGGCCAACATCTCTCCTGTGTGCCTCGAACCAGAGCTCTGCCTCGGCCCTGACATGGCTTAGCCTCCTCCCAGATGTGACCCAGTCCTGAGTGGCCAGCAGGAAAAGTTCATCTGCCTTATTGGGAGTAATATCCTTAACCTCTATTAACAATCACCAAAACAGAATACACACGCAATGCATACAATGCTCACCACTCCCAGTAAGGGTTGCCAACCCTCCAGGAGTGCCCTGGAGTCTCCAGGAATTACAGATTAATTGGAGATTGTCATGTGATGAAACCTCCAGGAATACCTCCAACCAAAATTGGCAACTCTAAAGAGCCTTCCAGACAGGACCTATAGTTCCAGTGTGGGAAGGGGTTACTGGGATCATTTCTTCAACATCCACCCTAAAGAAGCAAACAAAAGGCCCTGCCTAGGGTGACCAGATAGCAAGTGTAAAAATCAGGACGGGGGTGGTGGGTAATAGGAGCCCATATATATATTTTTTTTTAAAAAGCCCCAAATATCGGAACTGTCTCTCTAAAATTGGGATATCTGGTCACCCTAGCCCTGCCCAACTTGTGTTTTCCTTCGCTGGTTCCGTTTAGAGAATGGCAGTCTCTTCTCCCCACTCTGTCTTCTTCCTCCTTCCCCCTCCATCTGGTTTGACAGATCAGGCTTCATCAGCAACTTTATCCCTTAACTCTTCTTGATCTCTGTTATGTCTCCCTCCCAGCAGGGGAGCCCCTTAGCCACAATGATTAAAGCAAGGCTGGCCTCAGAGGAAATGCAAACCAGGGCTTCCCCCCAGCGATTGATCAGCACCAGGATCAAAGCCCTGCTAGGGAGGATTCTGCTGCAGGAGTTGCTGGGGATGTTTTTTTAAGGAGACAAATGAGCCTATGGCAGAGACAGAGCAGTTCTGGCTTCTCGCCCTTCGCTCTCTTAGCTCTTTGCTTTCAAACCTGACAAGCGGGTTTGGGTCTCCGTGTTTTTTGGGGTGATGTACAACGTCGGGGGTGGGGGTGCTGCTGATTAGCTGTGCATGTTTGTAAATGCCAACTCCATGGGGCTCCCTAAACTCCCCTGCCCTGGCAGCTTGTGCCAGATCAGAAATCCCATCTCGGTCCCAACACTAGTGTAAACTAATTAATGTGAAAGAAGTGATCATGCTTTTTACCAAAGATGATGATTCGATTTCTTCCTAACTTTTTAAAAAAGCTTAAATTCTGTTAAACATCATCACACCACGTAAAGTTTTAACAAATAAACGTGTAAGTTTAACGTGAAAAAACAGGGCCTTGATAAATGCTTTGTAGCACTCACGCTCAAGTTTGTGTCTTGGGGATATTTTGTAGAAATACCCCAGTCTTTAAAAAAAAAAAAACCATAAATAAATAGCATTAGCTTGCTTTTTAAAGTTTTGCCTAAATGAATTGCCCAGCATTCAAAGACAATCCCAAACAAACCGATATTGCTCTAAAAACTTATTACTTGTAAACTGTAAAGAAAGCTTTACATTCCTTTAGCATTACATGATACAAAACACACATGCAGCCTAATTTAAGAGAAATTAGTTCAAACTAGCCTGCGTCAAAGAGATCATAACACTTTTTAACACTTTTTATTATTTCTTTCTGACTTTTAAAAAAATCTAAATTCTGTTAAACATAATTGCTCCGAGTAAAGTTTTAACAAATAAACGTTTAGAAGTTTAACCTGGAAACAGTGGGCACTGATAAATGCTTTGTAGCTGTCACACGTGCTTTTAAAGATAACACAAGAAAACAGAACATTGATAAATGGAAGTGAAGTAGCTTTGTAGCACGCGCTCTCTCTCTCTCTCACACTCACAAACTTGAAAAGATAAAATACCAAAATCCATGTCATGGGGATATTTTGTAGTGGTCTAGTACAATAATGACTGTTTATACAGGGCTAGCATTTGTAAATTGTGGAGCAGCAAAGCCTTTATTCGCACCATTTTTTCCTTAATAATTGAGACATGGCCTATCTGAAGAAACGTATCCCCGCAAGCCACCACCTTCTGTCTTCTAAAAGAATTGTTAGCTTTTACAGCAAAATAATTTTTAATCACAGGATTAAAAATAAATAAAATTAGCTTTTAAACATTTTATTTCCATTTTCTGCTATCCCAACTTTTAAAAAATAACGTAAACATGTTTTTTAGATTGGATTTATCTGCTACAGCTTAAAGAGATGCCAAGAACAGGAAATTGTTTACTTCATTTCCATAACTAAATAATTATTTTGCAGCAGAGAGACATCCCTATGACACACCTTAAATAATACCCTAGCAACAACTACATTGTTTTGTTTTTGTCTAGCATCACGTTTAAGGGGCCTTAAAGAATTATTTTTCTTTTTTTATATAACACCTTACGTTACACCTTAACCCTAGATGCTTTACACAGTTAAATAATTCAAGACAGTAGATGAGAGCCCTGGGCAATTACTGAAAACAGAGGTGTTAGGATGACTAAAAGCCTACTGCAGAGGGCCTGGGGGAAAATTAAAGGGCACCGCTTTTAAGGAAGAGGGCATGATTTGAGGAGGTATATAGAAAATGGGGGAGATGAGTGGTTCAGGGTTATTTTGTGATGGCCCAAATGCCCTACTGCCTATATTTCTAACACTCACATAAGTACATGGGGTCCTGTGCAACCTACTTCCCTTTTGACAACAACCACCTCTCCATATCCTACTATGACCCAGACAGAAATCCCTCTTACATGGGGCAGGAGGGCAATGGACTCTTAAACAATTGGCTGTAAACTACTGGCTAAGAAACTATTGCGCAGCTGTTGTATGAAAGAGGATGAGCCGTTCAGACCTATTGAAGATGGAAGAGTCCAATTTCAGCCCTCAAGGAAGGGAAGAGGCTGGCTCTCTGATAGTGCTACATTATAATCCTACAGGAAAACTTATTCTAGGAGAAAAAGCAACTGATCACATAGACTGAACAAATGTTGCATGTCTGCTCATATGTAGTTTCATAGTCCTAGAGAACTTGATGGTGTTGGTTGCCCTATGGAAAAATAACAAATTGCACAACTGTATGTACTGATTGGTTGGCAGTCTAACTCTCTGTGATCTGTTAATTGACACAGTTTACTAAGTAACATTCTTATGTCTGCAAGGAAAACTCCAAGATGGTTTATTAGGAAAGGCAGTATGTTTGTCGCCCTAAGAGCTGCCACTTTTAGTTTGTTAGACACAGCCATTGAGAGACATTTGACTGTGGTTAAGGAGGCCGTACGAGGCAAATAAAAAGTACAGGGTGGTCTTATCCGACCATGTTGGTTTATCTCAGTTTCCCTGGTACGTTAGAAACCCTCAACAGGAAATGTATCAACAACTTACCAGACTGCTCAACAGTTTTTTGCCTCTTTATTCCATAAGTGTCTTTATAACCATTCTGGTGACAGTTGTTATGCTTTGTGTGGATATTTACATACTAATAACTCAGAGATCTGTGTAGGGCATTTCTGATTGTAATTGGTGGATTCATCGCCTGTTGGCCTCCATGGTTTGTTCTGTTGCTCACAGATGTAGCCTGCAAAGTAAAAGTGTGCCATTTTATACAAGGCTGACTGGTTCGTTGCCTTGGCCCTCGTTAATTCTGCATTGAATCTCAGCATTTACACTATGGCCAGAAGAAAACGTGGCAGGTTTTCTGTCACCTTGTTTGTGGGTGTCTAGTGAAGACCGGCGTGACCAGATCTTTGCCTGTGATCTGTGTTGGACCATAGGGGCAATGTAAGTCTGTGGCTCATGCACTTAAATCTTAGGGAAAAACGTTAGCCATGTTTTAAATTTTGAGTACCTGTTTATCCCATAACTTGTTTGGGTTTTAATTCTGTAACAGAACTGGCTCAGAAAAGTATAAGATTTATAAATAATACGAAACCAACGGAGCAACAGCCCCATCTTCCTATTCCCTTAAACAGAAAGTCCTCCTTACTTAGAAAGGGAGACAATAGACTTTTGAAAAGTTAGCCCTAAACTATTGACTAAGAAAGTATTGCACAAGCGTTGTATAAAAGAGGATGAGGCATTCTAGCAGGACGGAAGTGCCTTGAATCAAGCCTTGCCAACACCAGCAGTCCAAGTGTCTCATGAAGGGACCTAGGTGAGGGTTACTAAGATTGTCTGTCACATGAGAAGGGTCAGGGGTCACTGACTCCAGGGCTTCCTCTTGCATCTTCCTTTTCTTTGAAAATCAAATGCAAATAAAACATAATCTCAGCCAAACACAGAGGAGTCCAGCCAGCTACTAACTCTCGCGAAGGGGATGGTGCCTGAGTAGGTAGGTCAGGATCAGGCAATGTCAGGGATTGTACTGCCACTCATCACGTAGCATGTGGGCACCTCCCATGTAATATCGATTAACAATTGAACTCCTTGGAGTCTTTGGTTCTGCTCCCTTTGGGGGTAAAAGCTCATCTTATGGTGGGTTTGGTTGGTTTTTATTCTAGGGGGGCAGGAGGGTTATGAATGTTGCTCCAGTAACAGGCTTTGTCAGAGGGCAAGGCTCTCTGTATCCCTAAAGTTGTTCTGAGTCTAGATTCAGCTTGTGGTTCAGGAAGGCCGTTCCATAGCTGGATCCCTTGGTCCTTGGCTCTTATACTATCCCGGGAGGATTATTTTTGCTATTATTGAACATCTGTCAGTAGTGACTGCAGCATTGCCAACTTGTGTGACTTTATCATGAGTCAGACCATAGTTAGTGCCTGTCTTTAAGCCCCAGCTCCTGGAGTCACATGAATATGTAAGAATGCATTGGCCTGCTAAACCCAGGGTTGTGAGTTCAATTCCTGAGGGGGCCATTTAGGGATTTGGGGCAAAAATCTGTCTGGGGATTAGTCCTGCTTTGAACAGGGGGTTGGACTAGATGACCTCCTGAGGTCCCTTCCAACCCTGATATTCTATGAATCTCAGCTTTGGCTGGTCTATAAAAAGCAAGTTTCTAGCCATTATGATGGCAGGGAAAAGTTTGAAAATGTGACCTCAGTGTAACCTTTTAGGCTCAGAAACCAGAAGGCAAATAAAAAGAACCCAAAATGTGTGCATGTATTTTTTTTTTTTAATTATCTTGTGGGTTTTAAACCCAACTGATGATTTTTCAGTGCTCCTGGCAGGTGACGCTGCTGCTGTGTCTGAACCGCCCTGCCTTTCTGCTAACGTGGCATTCCCCAAACAGCTCCTGCCGCGGGCTGCCTGGCTGCCGAGGCAGCTCTGGTGCATTGTCATTGCCGGTAACTGGAGGGGCAGGTTGTGCTACTGGGACAATTGGGATGGCCCAAAATACAGAGCCAATGTCCTCTTCGGTTGTGCTTAGATGCCTTCTGTGTCCCTCCTGTAGGGCTGACCTCAGGCCTTGTGTGGTCTTGATGCTGTAGCAGGTACCTGTCAGCTGCCTGAAATCTAACCTCCTCCCCCACTCGCAGTTTAGATTGCTGGGCATTCTTGTTTTTCCGGTTCCAGATTCCAGCTCATAGCTCTTGACTTAACTACTTCAGGGTGAACTGTCTTTGGCTCAAGTCATTTGCTGGACGTTGACACTAAGGCCTTTGGCCCATGAATCTCCGAGCTGGGGAGGCTAATACAGCGCTGCGAGTTTAACAGCGTCAGTAGAGAAGCCACTGGGTATGTCTATGCTGCAATTAAACACCCGCAGCTGGCCCACGTGAGATGACTCAAGCTTATGGGACTGTAAAATCGCGGTGTAGAGATCGGGACTCCAGCTGCAGTCTGGGCTCTGGGACCTTCCCCACTCACAGGGTCCCAGAGCTCAGGCTCCAGCCCGAGCCCAAATGCCTACACTGTAGGCTGACAGCCCCACAAGCCCGAGTCAGCCGACACGGGCCAGCCGTGGGTGTTTAATTGCAGTGTAGACGTGTCCGCTGGGGGAGGGGAGGAGGGGTATTTATTTTTAAATCAATGTCTTTTCTATTTATGGCTATTTTTACAAACTTTTCTGCCGACCCGTTTGACTGAACATACTAAGGGCATGACATGGTGGGTCTGAACTGACACACCACAGAGTGGGGCTGAACTGGCCTGGCACAGAACAACCTGAAATGAGCCACTCCTGAATTGTGGGCGGCAGCTGCTGCTGTTTGTATTGTGGCAGTGCCTAGGAACCGCAGCCGGGGACCAGCACCCCATTGCACAAACACAGACCAGAGACGGTCCTTGCCCTCATGAATTCATTGCTAATCCCATGGTGAGCAAACTGCCTTACCGCGTGCTGGCACAGTGCTCCAAGATGGGTTGTGCCAACAGCTCAACTTAAAACGAATGTGGTAGCCGCGGCGCACTAAGGAGAGGTGGTCTTTGCAGCACCAAGGGCAATGAGGAATTTCTTCTCCATCTGTGTGTTTCTTGCACTGGTGACCAGTTTCATGCTTGGATGCTTTATCTTTGCTGACGTGGTGACATGAGGAGGGTGAGACCCGCTGGTTTGTGGTGGCCGCTATCACTTCCCTGGGTGCAGTGGGGGCTCGGGTCAGCCCTGCAGTGGGATGGTGTGCTATGTCTCTGTTTCGAAGTGACTCTGATCAATTTTCAGTCAGTGCTCATGGCAGGGCCGCTGTGAAATTCTGTTATGCCCCACAAGCTGGCGTGTGATTTACAGCTGCTGCTGTTTCAATTTCCCACAGGACTCCCTGCTGTTGTACCGCTGCCTGTGAGCGCTCGGCGAGAGCCTGTCACCAAACTGGTCGCTGAGGCTAGCGTCTCGTCCGCGCGGGGAAGCAGGACAGCCGCCTGCCCCCCACTTGCTCCTGCAGGTAGGAGAATCACTGCTGTTAGAAGTGATCAATACCCACTTCCCTTCCTCCACAGGAGCCCCCACGGAGGGGATGGGTTCCCCTAAAATAACATTTCACTCCTTGTATACCAGTGAACTCCGGCTCAAAGGGGGGGAGTTTATTACAGGACTGATCCCACTGTGCAAATTCTTTGTTGCATTTTTGTCAGTGTCAACAGTTAAACCAAACTGGCCAGTTTCCCTTTCGTCTCTGCTCCGTGTCTGCCTTCAGGTTCTCATCCCAATGGCGGGATGTTTATTATTTCTGTGTAGAATTGTAGAGCTCAGAGACCCCACCTGAGATCAGGGCCCCATTCTGCTACGTGCTGTGTGTACTTAAAACAAGGGTACAGCGCTTGCCCCGAGTAGCTCGCAGTTGAAGATGAGACGCAGGGTGGAGATGGAGGCCGGGGGTTGGGGTGGGGGGTGAGAGGGCATGCCCGAGGGCTTGCAGCAGGTCCATGGCACATCTGGGAATAGAACCCGAGTCCTCATCTGCTTTGGGCTGCAAACCCTGGCTTGAGCGTGGGAAGGGGAGAAAAGTTTAAATCCAAACAAAGCAACTGTGTATTTGGCAGTTTGGCCCACGCGTTTTGGCCCTGGTGAGTCTCGTTCAGCACTGCCAGCTGTGCTGTAGTAGTTTAATAGCCCCGGTACAGAACCACTGGGTATGTCTGTGTGGCAATTAAACACCCTTCGCTGTTGGCTTTGCTGCGTGTCCGAGCTCCAGCAGTTTGCCAGGCAGCCCCACAAAGAGCAAGTGCAGCCAACGCTGGAGCAGGGGTGCGCGCCTTGGAGCAGGTTTCCTGGGACTAGCTGAGGTCCATGCAGTGTTGTCTTTTCTTCTCCTTCTCTGCGTGCGGAACTGTTTCCTCTCCCTCCCCAGGCTGTCCACTCCATTCACTCTGCTTCCTCCTGGGGCCAGGGGAGAGTCTGGCCTTAGAGCTAGGCTTACCCTGAGTGTTTCTGGGACTCGCTCGCCATTGCTCTAGCACCCATGGGAGTCCTGTTGCCGTCCCCCGTCCCCACTGACACCTGGCAGCGCCCTGACTCTCATGAAAATAAATAAATTAATGGAGAGATCCTATCTCCTAGAACTGGAAGGGACCTTGAAGGGTCATCGAGTCCAGCCCCCTGCCTTCACTAGCAGGACCAAGTACTGATTTTGCCCCAGATCCCTAAGTGGCCCCCTCAAGGATTGAACTCACAACCCTGGGTTTAGTAGGGGGCAATGCTCAAACCACTGAACTATCCCTCCCCACCCTGAGTACCCCGGGATCTTCAATGAGCACAAGTGCCCGGGATTTAGCTCTGATGTCTTGACAGCAGCACAGCGCCTGCTCCAGTCGTCATGCCGGCGGATTGGTGCAGGAGCCCCGGTGAAGGCCTAGGTTGTAGCCTTGCTATAACCATGCTGTGACTGCGTCCCCTCGCAGTGTGTGCTGCACGGTCAGTCCAGTGTTTCAGCTTGATTAGAGGCCGTGCTGAGGTCTCCCCTCCACACCGTGCTTTAGCTGTGGACTTAGCTAGGGCCTGACCACATGCAGCACAAGGAATAGGAACTGACCCTCCTGAAATGGGGACAGGGCCGTGATCAGAGTTGGGTGTGGGAGCCAGGACTCCTGGGTTCTATTTGTAGCTCTGCCGCTGGCTCTCTGTGTGGCCTTGGGCAAGTCACTGACCCTCTCTGTGCCTTAGTTTATCAGGGTTGTCCAAGGGTGGAGAAGGGGGGGGTCGTGATCTTTCCCTGAGGCCGAATCAGTGACCTCGTCCAGACCAAGACGTGGAAGGTGCTAGGTGACACGTGTTAGTTAACACCTGCCATGTCCTCGTCTGGATAAAGGCCTGAGATGAAAGCCCTTGCTCCTTCTCCCCCATGCTGGGGGCCAGGGTACCCCTCCCCCCCGGGGCCCTGCCCCCAGCGTGTCTCGTCTCACACATGCAATGGGACTCTGTTGCCCCCGGGCTCGGCCAGGGTTGTTGCTGTGCTGGGCTCCCCAGCAGAGGGAGCAGCAAGCGGCTCCCTGGCCACACCCATTACATGGCAGCTCCAGCCCTGGGAAAGGTAAGGCAGGGGAGCTGAGAGGTGCCTGCTCAATCCAACCCCATCTGCTCTTCATGTTGGCCGTCCGGGTGGGATGCGGCATCTGGGGAGGGAGCGAGGGGAGACCCCGCCCCTGTGTGTGTGGAGCCATGGGGTGGGGGGGAGAGTCCAGAAATGGGCTGTCAGGGGGGCCAGGCTTCTGACCCCATTGCCCTCTGGGGGGATGTGAACAAAGATGGGGTTGAGCCCCAGTGCTGAAATCCAGGCTGCCCTGATGTGTGGGGCCATGTCCCATCCAGCAACCCACTGCGCTGCTGCCCCTCCTCCCACTGCTCTTTCTCGGGGTGGGAGTGGCTGGAAGGCTCTGCTCTTTTCTGGCATAAAGGGGTGTTTCCCAGTCCCATCTCTCATCGTTTAAATGGACTGTTTTAGATGTCAAGGCAGCCCAGTGCGATCAGGCAGTTTCACTCAGTGCCATCAGTGTCACTGGGCCTCCATGTGGATCAGCTACAGGCATCAGGAAAGAGCTGAGAGTGGAATTTTTCCCTAGGCTGTAACAAAGCTGCTGGTTCAGGGGACGGTCTTCTCATCTTTAGGCCCCAATCTTGCATTCGTATCAGCACGGTCAGCCTTCTGCGTCCCCAGAGCCTTAGGATCGGTGTTGCGTTCAGTGCAAGCCCCGTGCCCAGTTTTAGCACAGTAACAAAGGGCATCTAGTTAATTCTCTTAAACCTTATCAACCCAGAACCTTTCAGCTGTGAAAAGTAATGCACTGTCAGCGCAAAGGGGATTAAACTGTCTTGCAGTTAGGGATTTAAGGGCCTGATCCTGATCTCATTGAAGTTGGGGGGAGTGAAATCCGCTGTTAGCGTGGTGATGGGAGGGAAATGCTCCAGGAGCTGGAAAGTCTGTTCTGCGTATTCTGAGAAGCCTCCGCTGAGATCAGGGCCATGTTGATTTTTGAACAGTGCGAACAATGTCGCACATATTAAATGGATTAAAAACTGGTTAAGGATAGCTCTCAAAGTTAATGGGGGATCATCCTCCAGTGAGATCTCTTCTAATAGGGTCCTACAGGGATCAGTACGGGGTCAGTGCTGTTCAGTATCTTGAACAGCGATCTGGAAGAAAGCATAAAATCTTAGCTGGGAAAATTTGCAGATGCCACCAGTCCACTGCTTCATTGTGAATAATGCCACGTCTGTTACACAGAGCAAGCTGGGCCAGTTGTCAAGGGGACAGCGTGCTCGTGTTTTAACTCTGCCAGAGTGTGGGTCACATGTCTAAAATGGGGAGCTGTGTCCTGGAATGTGGGACACTAGAAAGGACTGAGGGGTCGTGGCAGAAGGAATCCGACTGAACATGAGTTCGCAGGGTGATGCTTTAGCTCAGAGGGCAGACCCGATCCTCAGGTGTGTAAGGGAGCTATTGGATGGGAGTAGAGAGATGCTGTCGCCTCGGTATAGGTCATACGCTAGTGAGGCCATTACCGGTTGCTGGGTTTAGTTCTGGTGTCCACGCTGCCACAAGACTGCTAACAAATTAGAAAGGGTTCAGGAAAGTGCTACAGGAACTATTCAAGGATTGGAAAACCTGCCTGAGAGACAAAGGAAACTTGATCCATTTAGCCAGGTTTCAGAGTAACAGCCGTGTTAGTCTGTATCCGCAAAAAGAAGAACAGGAGTACTTGTGGCACCTTAGAGACTAACAAATTTATTAGAGCATAAGCTTTCGTGGACTACAGCCCACTTCTTCGGATGCGTATAGAGTGAAACATATATTGAGGAGAAATATATACACACATACAGAGAGCATGAACTGTGGATGGTTCTTATTCATATAAGGGTCTAATCCTCTTTTTCATTGGGTGGCAAATTGTGATTACTGACTGGCTACGAATTGTGTACTCTAGTCTACGCTATGAAATCCTAGTTTTGTTACCCTGTCCTGTCTCACTGCCCTTCTTCATCCCCCACTCGGTTTTTTCCTCTATCACTTATGTCTTGTCTTGTAGACATTACTGGGGTAGAAATTGCCAGTGCTACATGTTTATGTAGTGTCCATCGCAATGATACCTGATTGAGGCCTTTAAGTGCTACTGAAATAGAAGTGATTAATAAGGTCCTGCTCAATTCATGCCTTCAATAACATCTTGTGGCAATGAGTTACACAGGCCTGGGGCTTTAAAAAACCACTTGCCCAGGTTCTGGAAAGCAAGGGGACCTACCCATGAGATTCCTGCGTCCATAGACGTTGAATGTCTTGCTCTGGGCTAGGAACAGTTCTGATGGGCTTGGCTGAATGAGGTGAAGTTTAGCTGTGCCTGCTCTACATTTTGAAACCGACCTAGAATTCAGTGCCAAGTATACTTAGTAGTCCTGGCTCACGCTGATGGTGAGTAATTCCTGTCATGAAAATTATTACCATAGTAATTTGTCATAGCTGAGCCTGTTTAACGAGCAGGAGTCAAAGACTTAACTTGAGACCAGATTGTTACTTATTCCCCATTGAGCTTCTATTAAGCTGAGGTCTTGACTTGCCATCCTCTCTCGGGGAGCCCGGAGTCGCACTGCCAAGCCATGGCTGCCTATTTGCATGCAGGCACGGCTGGTGTTTAGCTTTGTTTTGAACAATGGATCTGGCCGCGGTCTTTTTTAGAAACAATGCCCTTTTACTGTACAGTACCAGTTTGTACATCAAAACTATTATTCCAACATCGCAGGCTTAATTATAAAAGTATAATTCAAATGACATTGGGGGTTTGCTGGAGTTAAATTTTAATGGCAAGCCAGTGCCCTTTTAATGGCATTTTAGACATTTAAATTGGGCATGATCCCTTTGGGAACAGTCATTTTATTCATGGAGATTATGTCTAATTTGAATATAAAAATACCACTCAAAAGATACCGTATAGGCTATTTCTCACTTGCAGGAGCTCCACAGGCCAATCTTCCCAACTGATTGGGCGTCAGTGGATTAAAAAAAAAAATCTTACTCAAGCAAAGCACACTATAGAAATTTATGTGCTCATAAATATGCCCCCAAACCTTTCAGTTTGTTCTCTTAGCATTCTGGGTATGGCATGCAAATGAGAACACCAAGCAACTTACTTCACTGTGAAGATGTCTGCTCTCCAGTATATACATTGCATGTAGCTTTGAACGTTGGTAAAAGAACTAGCGAGCTGTGGGAAGTAAACAACAACTAGGAGTTGTCAGCCTTACTCTAAAACTTCCTTAGCTGGTGTAGATCAGGGTTGCGCCTCTGAATGCAATGCAGCTGGACCAATTCATACCAGTTGAGAATCTAGCCCCAAGTTTTTCTATTGCAATCCCAAACCTTCCTGTTGATCACTGACAATGTGTATAACACAAGTATATCTGCCAGTGCATCCCCTTGCTTTGTGTAGCAAATATCTAGGGCCTGATCTTGCAAACACTTGTGGAGTGAGTAACTTTACTCAGCGGACTAACTCCATGAAACTCATTGGGCCGACATGTGAGTTAAGTGTTTGAAGGACTGGCTCTGCCTTTGCATCTCTTTAGGTTGAAGCTTTCGATTGTCTATAAATACCCTGAGTTTTGGAAGTGGTACAGTCCTACCAAGGGTTGTGTAATCCGTTCCTTGGTCCTGCTCCCTTTGAAGTCATTGGGAATGTTGCTACTGACTGAAAAATGCAATAAAGGAAATGGCTTCGGTCCCCTGGAGCTCCCTGTTGAGCTTCCATCCTACATCGAGCGCCGCCTATGAATCAATAACTGGCTGCGCGAGAGCTGCCTGGAAAAGAAACAGGCTTCTACCCATCCCCAGCCTTGTATCGAGGGCCCCTGCGCATGCCTGTTGCCCAGTTTGAAATAAAATAAATAAATTAATGGAGATATCCTATCTCCTAGAACTGGAAGGGACCATTGAGTCCAGCCCCCTGCCTTCACTAGCAGGACCAAGTACTAATTTTGCCCCAGGTC